TCCATCAATTAGGGTTAGAAGAACTGTTGCCAAACATACAACATGCTAGAAACATTAATCACTGAAATAATGATCCAATCATTGACTTATTTGCCTATTGTAATCCAAACAGCTACTCTGTTGTCGTTGTTGTTGTTTTTGGCTGGGCAGTGCATCATGCTTAGGAAATGTGATGCACTGTATAAGAAGTGGTGTCTTGCTATCAAACCATGATAGTGATGGTATAACTTCAGAATGTTGATAGATATCGGTACTTCCCATTTTCATTGCATTGTGAGGCGGTTTATGGGAAGAGGCATCTTTTGTTGTTTCTACTCAGTGATGTCACTTCCTTATGAGGCAGTCTGCAAAGTTTTCCTGTCATTATGTTCATTTGTGCGAGCTGCTGGGGGTTGTTTGCGAAGAGCCTCTTCCTTCTTCGAGTCAGAGTCATCTGTCTGACACCTCTGGTCTGCCAAGAGCTCGGAGGACGTGCTTCGACGTGCTCCAACAAGTTCCTCTGCTGCCTGGCACATCTTCAGGCTTTCAGATGCCCTGAAAGATGGTGATAATGAAGTTGTACTGGCTCCAATCTCAATCGTGTTAACTGACATTAGCCAAGATACGCCAGAGGCTGCACTATAAATGCTAGTTTGAGGATTTTCTTTTGTTTATTTCTGCCTTTTAATCTCGTTATTAGTGGCGCTTGCTAAGGCAAGCTTCACTATTACTATTGCTCATACTTTTGAGATCCCCTAACAACTTTAAGTACAAAACTTTAAGCTCGTTTCACATTGCTGCACCTCAAATCATGCAACTTCATTAGAAAAGGTGTGCAATTGCAAAAGCTCTTTAAATCAAGATGGATTCGGATTGGCTGTCAGTGTTTTTAGCATTCATCAGCTGGAAAAAAAACCATCACGATTCCAATGATTGTTCCTTCTCATTACAGTTTCCCTATTCTCATTCATAGTTATTGTTTTTGTACTTGGTGTGAACAGGCCTTAAGGGTTCTAACAAAAGTAGCTAAAACTAACAAAGAGATTAAAGTGTGCTCTAGAACACTCTAATAACCACTTAGCAACATGCTAAAAAGTCAAAACACATTAGCATTGTGAATGTGCAAGCACCATGCAGTCACTTTTTCTTCAGGAAATGTAAAAATCGTGTTGATTGGTGTTATAGTGATGGGTTTAATGTAAAATGTGATTTCAGTCTGCGCCGCGGTTTGCGATGGTGTGGTATTTTCAAAAAAACAAATATTCATTGGCTACAGTTACATGCAGGATTTGTACTCGGGTTGCCCTTTTACCACAGCTAATTTGCAAAGGGTTTGCTAGGAGGCCTTTCTGCCCTTCTCTGAAAGTTGTCCTGGGTCTAATGGCCCCTCAGGAGACTGTCTCAGTCATATCTAGGTGTTATCTCAGCGCTGTTTTATTTCGGTGGCACCATGCCGCTCTTCACAGGGCGAGGAGATATCTGTCCTCTCCTGCTACCCTCGGGAGAAGCAGAGAGCAGATTAACAAAGTGACTTAATGTTGCACATTAGTCTCTGGAGATCCCTGCTCCTGGTTTCGTGGCACTGGGCCGCCCTCCCTCCTACTCAAGTAACGCAGCAGCTCCTCCTACGCCTGTTTCTCTCTCCGTCTTTATCTTTCCGTCACATGGGTAAACACACTGGCATCTCTGACCTCTAAGCCATTTTGCCTCGACATGTCCAGTTCCTGTGGGGTTTTTCCAAGTGCGTGTACTCAATTTCACTGTTTACCTGGCAATTACCTCTTTAAAAAATCTTGGCTTTTGTCCGATATTGGAATCAGAATCAGAATATGATTTTTATTTATTTATTTATTTATTTATTTATTATTCTTCCATTATTTCCTTTTACATTTTCCTTAAAGTTTTGTTTTTCAATATTGATATCCATCTGATTAATTATTGATATTGGATGCAGATTATGTTAGGAATATTTATTATTTTCAAATGTTTTATGTATATGTGTATATATATATGTGTGTGTGTGTATATTTTATATATATATATATATATATATATATGTGTGTGTGTGTGTGTGTGTGTGTGTGTGTGTGTATTGTATATATTTTGTGTATATATTATGCGATTAATCGCGATTAATCGTTTGACAGCTGTCAAACGATTAATCGCGATTAATTGCATCCAAAATAAAAGTTTGTGTTTACATAATATATGTGGGTGCACTGTGTATAATTATTTTATATATATAAATCCACACACGTGCATGTATATAGTTAAGAAATATTTATATGTACTGTATACAGATTTATATAATTTATATTATATATAAATATTTTATATATTAATAATATTATTTCTTAAATATACATGCATGTGTATGTGTGTGTACTTAATGTGTGTGTGTGTGTGTGTGTATATATATATATATATATATATATAAAATAATTATGGATGCGATTAATGAAATTTTGGATGCGATTAATTGTGATTAATCGCTTAACAGCCCTAGTATATATATATATATATATATATATACACTTATTTTATTCATTAGATTAATTTTTTTTATTTATTTTGTCAACTCCATATTTTTTATAATTGTTGAATTTTACTTGTTTACAAATCTGGTTATTGGCCATGATTTAAAAATAACTTGGATACTTGATTGAGAATTCTTCTTTGCTCAAATATGGCTGCTTAACTGCATAAAAGACTTCAAACAAGTCATGCGAGACACAATGTACCCACAGCATGTACAAGACGCTGATCTTGAAATGAAAGCGCTACGCATAAGCAGACTGATCAGTTGGAGATGAGTGAGCTAGACACCATCGGCCCAGTGGCTAAAGGGAAACCTTTGAGTCCGGGTTTAATGGATTACACGTCCTGAACAGCTTAGTTACGTAAGGTGTTGCTCACCGAGTGACCGTCCATCATGCTGTAAGCTAAATTGGATAAGGTAGATGTAGATCTTGAGTACAATGGTGTGTTTGCACAAATAGAGTCGATATGAAATAGTGTTTTATTGGACTTCGAATGCAGTTTTTACCTCTGCCAAAAGACACTCAGTATTTGATCTCACTGTCTTGAATTTACTGTAAGTTTCCATTTTTGTTGGCGTATACTCTCTTGTCTGAGCGGAGCTTGCCGAGGCTTTTATCGTTTGGTATGCTTTTCAAATTCAAATGAAAAGCTGTCACAACATTCCTGTAACTTCCTCTTCTGATGTATCATCTGATTTTTCCATCTCTCCTGCACAAATCCTTCACATCTCTCAGGCTTTTATCAGTCGACTTGAAGCATAATCAAAAGGTCAGATCTTGAAGCATGCATTGCCAAGTTGTTGACCATGTTTAAGTCATAAGAAGCAGATCTGCTTCTGATTTTTCAGTTTCTATGCCGGCCACGTGTCGTCCCTCTTGTTGAGTGTGAACATTTCACCTTTCCCTCCCTAAAGCTCACTGCTTTATCTCATTTGCATTGTGGGTTGCCCTTGAGTTTTATTTCCTCTTTTACAAGTCGCTCTGGTCTTTAACCAGTGCTCTCTGAGGTCAGTGGACATTGGCTCATGCCAACCTATATCAGTAATGAAAACCTATGCTATTTATAAGTAATGGTGCTTCCTAAACTACTTACTATTGCACATATAAGGGTGCATAATACTTTTATCAAGTAAACCGCCTAGAAACAACCCAGAACACCCCAGAAACCACATGGTAACACCATGGCAACTACCTACTTTCTCTGTCATTATGGCAGCGAGTTTTGCACATGCTAAAAAAATGTTCTCCAGAAAACATGAAGATGTTGAAAATGTGAAAATCCTCTACAAATTGTTTTAGCAATATTTAATAGGCAAAAAAAAAAAAATAAAAAAAAATCACAAAATTATGTCTAAAACAATATGAAAAACGATATGCCAATGGTATATGAACAACATGCAAGATGTATTCTCTTAAACCAAATCGTATTATTTTTAGAAAAATTAGTTCCTAAGTACATTTGCTTAAAATATAATAACTTTATATATATTTCATATTTCATTATTTAAATATGGCAGTTTTGGACACTCACATTTGCTCAATTTGGTTCTCAATTTGGTGCTCAATTTGTTGGAAAGCACAACATTATTCAATCTTTTTCTTAAAACAATATGGCAAAATTAAAACGTATTAATTAAAAATGTATTTTCTGAAGTACATTTATTTATACAGTGAAAAGTTTGAAATAATTACTATTTTTAATGTTTTTGAATGAAGTCTCGTATGCTCATCAAGCCTGCATTTATTTGATCAAAACTACAGAAAACTGTAATATTGTGAAATATTTTTACATTTTGAAATAATTGTTTTCTATTTCAATATACTTTAAAATAAAATTACTTTCTGTGATGCAAAGCTGAATTTTTACACCATAACTTCAGTCTTCGAGGTCACACGATATACATGTATATATATGGTATACTATATATAGACAGTATCTCACAAAATTGAGTATACCTCTCACATTTCAGTAAACATTTTAGTATATCTTCTCAAGGGACAATACTATAGAAATGAAACTTGAATATATTTTAGAGTAGTTGATGTGCTGCTTGTATAGCATTATATTTTTACTGTCCTCTGAAAATAACTCACAGTTTTGACATGTTCACTTAGAGTGTACTCACTTTTGTTGCCATCTATTTTGACAATAAGTGCTGTGTGAGTTATTTTCAGAGGACAGTAAATATATACTGCTATACAAGCAGCACATCAACTAATCTAAAACGTATTTCATTTCTATAGTATTGTCCCTTGAGAAGATAAACTCAAATGTTTGCTGAAATGTGAGGGGTGTACTCACTTTCGTGAGATACTGTATCTATATATTAAAGCACTGTTTTTTTGCTGTGTGAAACATTTCTAAATCAGTCCTGATTTTGTACGCCAAAAATGCTCGGTTTCTTAACCCCCCTGCGAACACTGAATGATTTCAACGTCAGTGATCAAATCTGGATCTCTTTCTCTGTCTTGTCTGTTCAGGAACGGATGCCGGAGTCTTTGAAATAAGAGGAACAAGCGAAGAGGAAAGACTGCGTTGAGGATCGGACAGAGACAGCGAGAGAGGAAGGAAGACAAGGAAGACAAGTACTTTTGGAATAGGAAAGGAATACCAGGCCGAAATAATGGGGAGGAAAAAGATTCAGATTGCACGGATAATGGACGAACGCAACAGACAGGTAAACGAGATGTTATCTGGAAGGAAAGAATGAAGATGTGACGCTCATTTCACAGAAATGCAATAACTCTTTAGTGCATGCACACACACACACACACACACTTAAGGAAGTGCCAGCAGCTTCTGACGACAGCGTCACAAGACACTCACAAGCTGGATTCTCACTTCACTTCGGACTGCGTGGCTGCTGTAGTTTTGCCTATGTGTGTTGCGTGTTTGTGTGTGAATGTGAAATATGATCGTCCTAAATAATCATAATTGCCGTTTTTAATTCTTCTTTAATTGGCATATTAAATGCATTGCTCTTGCATTAGATGTGTAGAGTGTGAATAATTGAGGTTTGTAATGGAGTGGAGGAAACCGTGTCTCCACCAGCGGGTGTATCATTCACCACAACGAGAGTTTCCAGCTTATTACTCACCCGGGCAATTAGACAGATCCGTAGCCACATCTGACAACACTTATGAAGCACGCCAACCTCTTACCTTCCTGATTCAGCCAGTATTTCTATATTCTGATGGAATAGGGGTTTTGACTTTGGGTTCACATGCTTTATTTCGTTCAGAACTTCGGAAATAAGGATTTTAGTATTACTTTTTTTTTGTATTTATCCTAACCGCATAAAAATATATTAAGCTGGGCATGTGTTGTGGATGAACTCTAGCGCAGGGCCAAACATGAGATCATGATTGGAGAGGGAACTATTCAATTTCATGGCTAGCACTGATAGCTGCAGGTCATACCAGCAGAGCGTTAGCTCTTAATGAGCTAATAACCGTCACATATCCCTCAGAAGTGAACTTGGTTCAACTCAAGTTGGCATTTGAATGGGAATGGCAGGAAGATTCAATACAGAAAATCAATACAGGTTCAAGTTCTTGAATCTATCGAAACTTTTATCCTCACAAATAAGGCGTTGTCTAGCCAGCATTCAGAGTTTGTCTTGAAGATTTGCTTTTTGAGTTAAAAATATACATTTTCTGCATCCTGTTTGCTACCTCTATTCAGACTTTAATTTAATTCAAAAGGCATTCTCAGTTTAATACAGAATAGCTATATTAGATGAAAGCTTTGAACTGATCAACTCAGATACACTCACTACCGTTCAAAAGCTTGGGGTTGGTAAGATTAAAAACCGATTTTGAAAGTTTGATCAAAAATAATGTTATTGTGACGCAAAAGATTTCTATATCAAATAAATGCTGTTCTTTTGAACGTTTTATTCATAAAAAATAAATTCCCCAAAAGTATTGAGCAGCACAACTGTTTTCAACATTGATAATAATAAGTTTCTTGGTCAGCAAATCAGCATATTAGAATGATTTAAAACAGTTGTGCTAATGAAAGTGTGATAAAAAATAGTTTGTAGATAAAAATAAATTTAAAAAATGCTGATCTGAACACTGTAAAAAATGAATATGCTTTATCTAATAAAAAAAAAATGTGGCAACAGATTACAAGCAATGTTATTAATTAAATGTAACAAATTAGAATTGAGTAATAATTAATCAAATTAATTCCTTAAAATTTAACCATTTAAAATGAGTAAAACTTACAACCAAAAAAAAAACCAACATAAATTTAAGTCACCATTGTGGTGATCAGTGTTTGTTTAAAATTACGGTTTTCTCCTTCAGTGATTCTGCTTGTTAACATCAGGTGTCTTCAATGTTGGCAATATAAAATAAAGAGCTCTTAATTAATCTTTGACGTCTGTAAACTTTACTCGTTTTAAATGGTTAACTTTTAAGGAATAATTTGATTAATTATTACTCAATTCTAATTTGTTACATTTAATTATTAATATTGCTTGTAATCTTTTGCCACAATTCTATTGATTAGATTGAAGGACCTATAATGTAACGTCAAAAACTTAAGCCAACTCAGTGACTGAATACATTTTTTATTTTTCTCAGAGGTTTTATCAGTTGAGCGCTTTAATAATAATAATAAAAAAGGTTAAATATTCAGCCTGTTGCTTTACTTGTTGTCCTTTGCTTCTGAACAATGCTTTAGTGTTCGAGTGGACAACAGCTCAGGGCTCAGGATAAATGGCTGGCTGTCATCTACACCCCCCGTCTCCACCCCCTTCAGTGACCAGCATAAGGCCGGAAACCGAGGCAAAGCCATTGTGCAGGGGAAGCCATTGGACCCTTCCTGTTATGACAGGAAATGCACTCAAATGTGCTTCCTGACCCCAGTGCAGTGGCACGATTAGCCCCCCTCCACGCCCACCCTTTCCCGTGTGGTGGAGCTCTGAGGGGATGTTCTGTGTGAGGCGTCTTACCCCGCAGCAGATCCTACGAAAGAAACCTGAATGATTCTTTACCAGGGCAAGCATGTTCATATAAGGTTAGCTGCTGCCTCAAAGTGCACAATACTGTCAGAAAGCATGTAGGAAAATGTAAAAAAAAAACAAGTCTTTGTGACTCAGACATCTAAGGTAAATCAAGACATGGCGCTGAACGCATGCAGCACGTGAAAGGCGAGCGTATGTGTGTGTGGGGGCGTCTCAGTGAGCATGTGTAAGACATCTGTCGCTCCCGGTGCATGTGCATGTGTGTGAGAGAGCGTAATCTAAATCATGTGGAGGTGAGAGCATCAGCGTGCTGAGCTGTAGGAGTGAGAAGATCACCCTGCTGGAGTTTGTTTGTGACGTCCGAACTCACGCACGGGGATCGGGAACACACAAACACCACCATCACCATGTGGATTAAGGCCTTCTCTCTTTGACAGAAATTAGATTAAATGGAGAACAAATAGTCTCCTGCATCTCAGATTTGTTAGAAAAAGACCCCAGCAATCTCACATATGTCTCCTCTAGAGTTTAGATAAATGACCTGAGCTATTTAATCATTGTGTTTTTTTTTTTGTCTCTATTTGGTATTTTTATTTCTCTTGAGGAATTTTAAAAGAAACATTTTAGAGGAATAGCTTTGGCTCAACCTGTATAGGATGGTGCTAACAACACCAAATTCATGGGTTTGATTCCGAGGGAATGCATGAAATGATAAAGTGTATTCCTATGAAAATTAAGTAGTAATTTTGATAAAAGGCATATGACATCTAGGGTTGATACCTAAATGAGACATCAGTGCATAATTGGGAATTCCAATGGGCCATTTGAGTTATGAAAGAGAAACCTCTGAGAAATGTATTTATTTGTGTCCTATTTTATTTTTTAGAGAAGAAAATTGATACAACGTTGAGACATAATTGAGAACCTCTTGAGATATATATATAAAAAAAAGAGTTGTACACTACTGAATGCCATTGTCTAATTTGGTTCTTCATCCATTCTTCCTCAGGAGAACCTGCTACTTATATGAGACATCAATGAGAACTTCATTAAGGTTACTAAACTTTCAAAGAGCCAACTCTTAGCAATTTTATTTTGATGCCAGAATGTAATAATCCAGAGTTTGAATATTTCACTCAGATGCCCAAGAGAGTTCTTTTGAGTTTTGTGCGGCTGTTTCTCGCTGAATTTCATTCTCATCACAGATGGAGAGTTTGTTCTGTGAGGGTTTAAATGGTGTCTTTGGGAAATTGTCCTTTCCAAATGGAATGTGTGCAACGCTGCCGGCGTGCCTAGGTGATGCTGGGTCATCATTAGCCAAAGCAATCCTATGAACCCTGCCACCCAGGGGCTGTCAATTTGTGAAGCGTGCTGGGCAGAATTTCACCTTGAACTCCCCAGTCTAAATTTAGCATGGCACGTAGAGCTCTGATATCTCTCTAACCAGAGTACCCTGTCAAAGAGTTTGGTTTTGAATGGATGGGACCCTGTACACTCAAGCAATAAGTTTCATTTTGATGGGGCCTTTTACGCAAGTCATGCAAATGTTAATGAAATGAATTGCAAGTACTGTACAAGTCAATGAAGTTCATATTTTATTCAGGGCTGTCGATTTAGCTCATTAATTGAATTAATTAGTCAAGGGGGAAAATAACGTGTTAAAACTGTTAACGCGTTTAACATATCCTCTCCTCTCCAGACATTACATATGTAGTTCATCTTACATTTCATACAGTTTATGGTGAAGAGTTGAAGCAGGGCGACTTCTATAATGAATGGCCCTAAAATTTACTACTAGTTGTGTCTCATATTTATCATGATATATTTAAGCAATATCACACAAGTGCTGTTTTTGTCCCAAATAGAAAATATTACCTATGTCTCCGACTCACAAAGGTATTTGATTTCTGAACGAATCTGCGTTTTGAGCGAATCAATCGGTTGAACTAATGATTCAATGGCACATTCATTGCTTGAACAGAAATGGTGAATCTGATGAGGAAATCTTGTGGGATAAGCTAGTTAAGAAATCTGTTAAAGGAGAACTCAGGCGCAAAATGAACCTTTGGTCTGATAAAACATCGGTACCTATCAACCGTTCTCTGAGATTTGTTTTCATGATAATCGAATGTAAAAATTTTTTTTATCTCTAAAAACTGTTTAGCATATAACGCTAGTAATGGGGGCATTAACTAAGTAAAAAGAAATCGCTAGTTTATACCACTAACAAGGCTCAAAATAGCCCCACACTTTGTAAGTGTACAGACCGTTTAAATAAGAAGATACTTTATAAAGACAGTCCACACAGCAGGAGCCATCTTTGGAAAACAGTCACGACAAGTCAAACCACGAACGTCGTACTGAGTGATCTGAACTGTACGAAGTTCAGCAAACTTCTGAACTGTATCAACGGCGTTCGGGGATCGACTTATCGAGACTATTTTCTAAGATGGCGCCGCCTGTATACACGAAGTGAACTGTCTTTATAAAGTATCTTCTTATTAAACGGTCTGTACACTTACAAAGTTCTCAATGCTTCGTTTTGCATGTAGGGACTCATTATGTTACTTTGTTAGTGTTTGGCTATTTTGAGCAAAACAAATCTCAGAGAATGATTGACTAGATACCGATGTTTTATTAGACCAAAGGTTCATTTTGCGCCAGAATTCTCCTTTAAGGACTTCACATCTCTGTTGGTTGACATCAAACTGTCTATCTATCATTGCCAAAGAGGTAGACTAATACGTTTTGGCTATGTCATTGAACGAGAGGTATCAAATCTATCCCAGTGTAACCCTCTCCTTGTTCTTTTGTTTATCAGGTTACGTTTACAAAGAGGAAGTTTGGACTAATGAAGAAGGCCTACGAGCTGAGCGTTCTGTGCGACTGTGAGATCGCCCTCATCATCTTCAACAGCACGAATAAACTGTTCCAGTACGCCAGCACCGACATGGACAAAGTTCTGCTTAAATACACTGAGTACAACGAGCCCCATGAGAGTCGGACGAATTCGGACATCGTGGAGGTGAGTTCCCCTTGGCAGTATGCACAAATTCAGACAGACTGCCAAATAAATTCAGTATTATTCAAGCATTGTTTGAATCATCAAGCATCAAGAAAGTTTGCTCTGTTTTTTTCTGGCAGTTATTTTCTGAAGAGTGAGCAAGTGATAGGATTTGACACCTGGCTCGTGTTTTGCTGGTGATTTGTTAGGGAACATGTTGTAATAGGCCTTGCAAAAAAATGTGTGGCACATGCCGTTGCACTCTGTAAGGACAGATCAGGCTGAGCCAAAGGACAGGGACGAGGACTTTACTGTATCTCGTCAGGACCGTGTTACGCAACAGATTGAGGAGGACTCTGCAGGTGCCACTGTCCAAGCCAGGTGCTCTGCGCAGAGACTTAAGGTCTTACTTGCTCATCGCCGCCACCTTTTGTGCCACGTGAGCTCCTGAAAAGGTTCACAGGGTTGTGGGATTGCTGTAGGTGAGGGTTTCCTTGTCCACCAATATAAGACTTGAGCGTCTTCCGTTGAAATCATGACGGAAAGACCAAAGAGCAACTGTGAAACTGCTCTCAGCTCTTCCAAACCACCTGTCAAGCCTGAGTTTGGGAAGAGAGAACTTGAAGGTTCCCACCCCACATGCATGAAAGGCCATGGCGCTCCCAGTGGGAGCAGTGGGAAAAATATTTCCCCTGGAAAAGTCCCCTTTCCAGTAATAACACCAGATAGAGCCCTGGTGGTGCCACACAAACAAACTCTTCTCGAACTAAGTACGGGATGAAGAAAAACCGAATAACAGTATAGATGCTGAAAGGGGCGTTTATAAGAGCTCAATTGCGGTGAAGGATCTCTTTATCTCTGTGCGTTCGAGCATGAGCCGGTTATTGTTTCACAACTCACTTCACTTGCACATAACAAGCTGCAAATTCAAACTCTATTATTACACTTTGACTGTTCAGTCTAGTGTAACACCGTTCAGCAGGCCATTTGCAACGTTGACACATGCATTACAAGCAAGGCCCTGGAGTCAGACTTAGCAGGGATTCTGCTGGCTTTTTATGCGGCTGAGAAGGGAAAACAGCATGGCTTGCCTCATGAGAGGAGAAACATCACGTCTCCACGAGGCAAATCTCACGGACACCCTGCCAAGCCTGTAAGGAGCCAGGATAATCCCATTTCCTCGATTAGTGTAATCTGAAAATGCTCCTTTTAATCCTAAAAACTGACAGCGCGCACTATAACCCCATGTCGTCCCCCGCGAAACGCGTGTTTTCCAGACCCCGCACCTTAGAGTTCGCGCTCTGCTGAGAATTGTCAATGAGACCGTTGGCACAAGGAAGGAAAATGTTAATTATTTCCAAAGGTCGTGCTGTTAATGACTACATGGCCGGCTAATGAGATTGTGCGTATGGTAGTTGACCTCTTGTGTTTGGTCTTGTGCTAGAAGGCACTGGAGGTGACAACCTTCCCCTCCTCCTATTTCACCCACACAAACCTCTGAGAAAACATGCCTCCGGCGCTTGGCACATCAATATGACTTTAAATGTAACAAAGAAAACATAGTCAACCTACTTTTATAAGCTGGCTCCATTTCAGGCACATTTGCCTGAAACATTTTTCTACTCTCCTAATTCAGATAATTTGTCTTCATGTAGTTGCATGCCAGTGCATTCTTAAGCACTACTTTTTTGCATGCTCGTTCACTCCATGTGAAGAGGATTGTCTAAAGTCATTCTTTGTGTGCAATCTTTGATCAAATGATGATTAGAGTTTGCTGTAGCAATGTTCCGACTCCTCTGGTGTATTTAGGGTTGTTGGTTGCATGCACGCATGATGGCTCTTGATCTTCGGTTGAACCTTGATGACGATTGACAGATAAAATCCGTGAATCAGATTTGAAAGGCTTATACTACTCTGTATTAACACCGTCACATTGCAGTCACAACATCAAGAGGATGCCAGGAACTCGAGCTTACTGCCATTACAGACCATTTCTGATCAACAATTTGTATATGGGTTATATAATTATTGTTTTGTTTTATTTTTTATAAATATGAATAGTAATGATAGAAATGTTTATACTCCAACCCCTACCACACTCAATCCCTTTAGGAATTTTCCCAAAAGAGAGACATCTTTGTTTTGCATTCCTTCACCCCTCCTTCTTCACAAATGGTTTAACATGAGTATACTGCTTCACTTAGTAACAGCGTGTTGTATTTTGCGCTTTTGGCCTGAGACTCGTGGTTATTTATAAGAGAGAGGACTTTCACATTCTTTACCCCGCTGCCCCTTTTCCGTCCTCTGTCCTGGGCAGAAAGAGGCTAAAGTTCTCATAGTGTTGGAAATAAGGAGCAGACGCCCAACTTGTGAGCCAGACCTCCTCCCCATTCCAACCCTTTGTGTTTTTACATGGTCCTTCCCCATTAAATGCCTGAAAACCGGTAGTTTCCTAAAAATAGAAAGCAGCACAGCTAAAAATAGCTCCGGCCCGGCAGTCGTGCCAAGGAAAATGGAGAAGAATAGGAGTGGAGTGCCGGGGAGAGAGAGGACAGCCACGCTTGTTTTTTCCCCCCACTCGAGAAAAACTGACCACGGAGAGCTGCGTACTTCACTGAAGCTTAACATCAAACTTGTTAGGCTGGCATTTTCACACTTTTAAGAGAGGAAACGAAGAGTTCATTTGATTACGTGACTTACTCCTCTAGACTTCCCAGACGCTTTCTGTCGGCTCATATCTGCCATCTGTTCAGCTGTGTAAACTTGAAAACACGGTTTGAAATTCGAGCGTGCGGTGAACTCAGCCCACATTCGGGTCATTGTTCTGATCCGCTCATGCTTAGAGTTTGAAACGCAGTATTTACTGCCCTGTTTTTTTCACCCTCGATTGAACGACATCAGAGGGCGGTTTTACATTCCACGATTAATCCGAACCTTGTTGCGTGAGTCAGGTTTTCCAAGACCCAACAGCGAGCAGCGCAGCACAAAACAGTTCGCTTTGACCAGGACTCTATTCTTTCTGAGAGTGCTAATTGTTAGCCGGCAACAATAATGTTTTTGAAGCCTATTTCCAGATTTGCTGCCCGTGATAAGGAGTTTGAAAAGACAAAAGCTGTTAATTGATGGTAAGGGGGGGGGGGGGGATGCTTTATTTCATTCTGGAGTTGCAACCGATTGTAGATGCCGGCGTGGTAAATCGAGTCGGGCCGTCATCGTGGCATGCTACATGTCAAATACAGTTCAGTCTGGTGACTGAATGATTGGGGCCCACAAGAGCCCATTATTGGGCTACAGTATAGGGCTTTGTGTTCTAACGGGCTAATTTAACATGAATAACCATACTGTCCTCTATAGATGAGGCAATGGAAAAAAAACTTGCTGAGTGGTCACATGACAAGGAATGTACATTAAAGTGGTGACATGCTTGCATGCGATCATTTACAGAAAGGCCGAAGAGGGAATTCTTTAAAATTCATAAATGTGGGCCTGCTTTGGCCCGGTTATCCCAGGAATGATCCTGGCGAGGAATTCTTGCCTCGCGTCAGCTGCGAAGCATGAGAAATAGGGAGGTGTCGTTTCCGAAGCCACCCAAGAACACAAGGGAGCATAGGACGTTCCCTTTTTTTTCTCGAGCCCAACTCGGTTTCGGGACACTCTTCCGCTTCCTTGCGGTTGGATTGGATATCAATTGGGCCGGTCACTGTCGTAATTATCCTCTCAAGTGCGTTTAATACCAAACACACGGCGCTCAACTCGTGGCAGTAAAAGAGAGGGCCTTTGATTCGTTATTATAGGGTAGTGAGAGCATCAAAGGAGGTAAATTACCCAGAAGTCCCCAGTGTGGCATTTTCCAAACGTTGCCCAGCTGCTGTGGTCAGAGCAGCTGGTGGAAAGAGCCCTGGAGGAGGGCCAGACAGTGCCACGCATTGGCTGTGCGACCTGCCGCAGGAACGGGGGCGTCCCTACTGGCTCACCCGTACGTCTCTAATAGGATTCCGCCTCTTTTACGGTCAGAATCAGTACGGCTTTCGTTTTTTCCACACAGATCCATCTGCTTTTAATAAACCAAGCTTGATCTACCAGTGTTTCAGCAACACAAATCCAGTCTTAGTTGGATACTTGCTGTGCCTTTCGACATTTCCTTTCGCTTGAACATGCTTTTGTGTTACAATAACTGCTGCTGCACTTGTCTGTGCGAAGTGTTGTGCTGCCAGTTAGTGAGTCACTGCGTAAATCAACAACTTTCCACACAGGCATACATGACACACTCACATGCACATCTGAAGAGGTGGAATAAGTTCTTAGTCGAATATCCCTACTGTCACACGAGACAATACGACGACGTTTCCTTGAACCACGCTGCCTTTTTGTGGTCACATGCTCTCAGTTTGATTGCTTTTTTCTGGGCGTCTTGGATGTGGTCTGTGTTTATGGAGACAGGCAAAATGCAGTGCCACCTTGGTGTGTGTGCGTGTTCCTTAAAGGGAAGACAAGACACACACGATGTCTCTTCAATGTTTTTCGATTGTCTCTCCTAGACAGCAACGTGGCTAGAGATTTTCCTACTTCTCTTCTCTCGTTTAGTTTTATACTCTTTATACTCCTAAAGAAACATCTGATACTTATAATGAGACCTGACAAGTGAGAACATTAATTCTAAAAAAAAAAAAACTTATGAAAACTTTCTCCACACAATAAAAAATTATATATGATCAATAAGTTATGACAACATTTTTTTTTACATTGCTTTAACTCATCAAAATAAGTTTTTTAATAAGTTATACGTTTTTAAAAGTCAATGTAATTTCATTTGAAATTTTTAAACATCCAAGTTTATTGTACCCAAAAATGTAAGGCAGTAACTTTGTTTTACAGTGTAAAATGACATTTTAGGAGAAATATCTGATTCTTAAATGAGACACTAAACTAAGAAACAATAACCTACAGTATGAGTTATACACTCTGACTTTGCCAAGAATCATTTATTTTGTAAAAAAAATGTATATTTTAGATATATATTT